CTGTTTTAAAAGAGAAGACTGCGCACATTGACATTTTTGTTCAGGGAATAAGTTCAAGAAATAGATTTTAAATTTAGATTTTCATTTTTTTATTAGTACATGTTTGCAGTATGTAATGATTACATTGATTGTGAGGAGTTTGTGTATGTACATGAGACATCTTATTTCTTTGTCTCCTTCCCATTTGAAAATACTATTTCCATTTTTTTCTTTTTTAAAATCCCTTTTCCTTTTCCTTCCCTTGCTCCTCCCATTTCATTCCTCCTCCCATTTCAGAAAGATCTCTGTTCTCTTACTCTCCATCCTGTGTTTGCTCTTTGCTTACATGTTTAGTTTCTTATATGAGAGAAACCATGCAGTGTTTACACTTGTGTGGTTTATTTTACTGACATTGTGGTCTTGAGGTAGATCCATTTATCTACAAAAGCCTCGAATTTATCATTCTTTATGGCACAGTACTCCTTTTTGCCTAACTGCCACATTTTTATCCATTCATCTATTGATGGACGTATAGGCTGTCTTCGGGCCTGTTCCAGTTGTGCTGCTATGAACATAGTGGGCATGCACGTGTCACTGCAGTGTAATCTCCATACTGATTTCATGGTGATTATGCTAGTTTACATACCTGCCAACAATGTAGAAGGGCTCCTTTTTCCTCTGCAACCTCACCATTTTTTAAATATTTGATTTCTTGACAGTAGCCTTTTTTTTTTTTTTTTTTTTCCCCCTGGAGATAGAATCTCAGCATTGTTTCAATTTCCATTTCTTCAATGACCAGCAATGCTGAGCATTTTTGCATGTATTTATTGGCCATCTGTATTACTTCTGACAAGTGTATTCATTTCAGTTGCTCATTTTTTGGTTAAGTCTTTACTGTTTGGGGGGGGACTAATTTTTTTGAGTTCCTTATATATTCTACTGTTAGTCCTCCAACTGAGGAATAGCTAGCAAAATATTCTTTGCCATTTTGTAGGTTGTTTGCCATTCTGTTGGTTGTTTCCTTTGATGTGCAGAAGTTTTTAAATTTGATCCCATTGTTGATTCTTGATATTATTTCTTGTGCCACTGGAGTTCTGTTCAGAAAGAACTTTTGTGTCTTTGAATTTTACCTATTATATTGTACCACATTAAGTATCTCTGTTTTAACCTTTAGATGTTTGATCCATTTTTAGTTTAGTTTAGTATCTGGTGAGTTACATGGGTCTTGACTTAATCTTCTGACACCTCAAACGGCTCCCTGTGGTCTCCTAAGTGATGGTGTTGAGATAGCCTGACTCAAGGTGCTTATCCCAGTAGATGTCCAGGAGGAAGCTCTGACACCCTACTGACCCAGCTTTAGGAGTCCTACAGCATCATTTCTGCCATCTTTTGTGAACAGGCCATATTCAGGGTGAAGGGATGTGTTTTTTTTCCTTTCAAGCAGCTTTTTAGGATTCTGTTTTCATTATTAGTAGTTTGATACCTCAACTTCAGCATGTTCAGGTGTGATATATTCCCACTATGTTTGGCATTCACTGGACACTTTGAATGTGAGTGTTCCTAATTTTTTTAGTTTACCTCCAAAAATGTTCTATTTGGTTCCTCTGTTTTCTTTCTAGACTTTCTGGCAGGTAACTGGCAGAATTTTTCAGTCTTTTTGACATAATCCATTTTCTGTGTTGCCATAATACCCAAGGCTAGATAATTCATAAAGGAAAAAGATTATTTCAGCTCACAGTTCTAGAGGCTGGGAAATCCAAGAGCATAGAGCCAACATCTGCCTCGCTTCTGGTGAAGGCCTCCTTGGTGCGTCATACCTTGGCAGAACATATCATGTGATAAAAGACTTAGCCAGAAAGAGCTGACTTTTATAACAAAGCCACTCCTGAGGTAATCCAGTAATTCATTAATCTGTGAACGATTAAAGTCTTTATGACTCAAGTCCTAGAGGGCCCATCTCTAAGTACAATTAGCATGATTTTGGGGATTAAGTTTCCAGCACACTGAAATTCAGGGGACACATTTAAATCACAGCACTTTCTAGCAATGCAATACCCTATTGTTAGGGAAGTCAGATTTTTTTTTTTTCCCATTTGTGTATTTGGTACAGGGTCTCACTACGAGATCAGACTTGTGGTGATCTTCCTGTTTTCAGCCTCCCCAGCACTGGGATTACAGTCACGCCACTAACCCTGGACTCTGTCCCAGCTCAGCATGCCCTGGGAGTGTGGCCAGCTGATCCCTGCTCTTGCCAAAGCAGGCGCTTTGTCTGGTGAGCTATCTTGCTGGCCCTAACCGTAATACTTTATTACCATATATTCTCTCTGTTCTTTTGTTTTACACTCTCTGGATTCAGTATATTGGTTCCTTTTGTAGTTCTTCAGCTATATATGTGTTTTTCTCCCCTCAGTTCTTTTCTTTTTTTTCTTTCCATAATTTTATTGATAAACAAATAGCAATGAGACAGTTTCAAACCAAATTGGTAGGACAGTTTCAGTAATTAACACATTACATACATTCCTCCCAGTGATTAATTGCTGTATAAGATGTGGACATGATATCCTATCTACAAACACCATGAGAACAAATCCCTCTATTCATTAAGAGAGTGTAACTATCCTAACCACTTTGAATATACCGATACAAAATGGACATTCATCTATATACCCTTTTTTTGTTGCGTTATTTGAATATTATAGGTGTGTTAACTCAGCAAAATAATCTAAAAGAGTTCAGTAGTCCATAATAGTATTGGGTCTTCTGCTTGACTGGCAATGTCAGAAATTGTTGACCTGAGTCCCCTACAGCTCAACATAACAGCATGGCTTTACTTCTTATAC